TTTCGGAATGTTGTGTGTTTCTGTCACACATTAGAAGTGAACAATTTGGTTGCCTGTCAAAACATTCGAACACCCAAATTGTCCAAAGCAATTTGAAATGATTTGGGTGTCACTTTTGGGATACTGATACTGCTTGCTTGCTTGCTTGCTTGCTTGTCTGTTTGAAATATTGATGTGAGTCCCGACACGACAAACCATTTAACGCATATGCCCCTAAACCCCAAAACGAAGCGGCCCATAAATGGCATAATTAACGCATATTAAATGTCACCATTAAAATGGACAGCCCCAACAGTTCCAGTCCTCTGGTCGCTGCGTCCGTCTGTCCTCGTTAATATCGAGCTGGAGAATTACGTATGCATATTGTGGGCTCAGAGCTCGGAAATCGGAGCTTTGGTCTCTCCGACCCTGCCCAGAAGTGAGTGAATCATTTAAACATGGAAGTCAGCCCCGAGCAGCAAAAAGCTCTTTAAACGGCTTTGGTTTTTATGTGCAATTATAAATGTTTTTTTCCATTTCGAGAAAAAACACAAAGAAAAAAAACATACTATATAATTTATAAGCGATATGTATGTATGTGCACATGACTGATGCCAGAGGAATATTTTATGTATATTTCTTCTTTTTTTTTTGTCGTTCACCTTGAGGGTTGGCTCTCCTCTCACGAAAAAAAAAAAAACATAACAAAAAAGAATAAATGCAATTAAAATGCAGTTTATGGCGACACACCACCAATGATGGAGGGAGGGAGGTAGGTAGGAAAGGGAGCGCCAGAGACCGGAGACCAGAGACTGGAGACTCGTGCCAGTTACAATTCGTCATATCGATGAATATTTGAGTTCCATTCCATATAGTAGACCACAGCCAAAACGCGATTCGATGCGACTCGACACGATTCGCCGCGACCAACTCGACTCGCGCGCTCTTTGTGTGTGTGTGTGTCAGATTTATGTGTTAAGCTCTTTGGGCAATGCCAGAAAAATTGTAATAGACAGTCGGACAGACATACAGTTGTTACGGCTTTTATATGGTCTGACAGAGTTGTCAAATGGCTCTACAAAATCCAAAGCGAAAGTGCGCGAGAGAGAGAGAGTACGAGTATGCCTGCTGTGTGCAGAAATCCACTTAATCCGCTTTATGGATATATTTTGGAATCAAAATTGTATTGCTATTTGCATTCCAACAGGTTCTGAGAGTTTTAAAGATTGTGCACCATTCGCTGCGTGTGGGAGCGTTTGGGATATGCCCACAGCTGCTCTATGGCATTAGAAAAGGGTATCTAAACTGAGTACATTGTCGATCTTCAGATGTTCAAACCTTTATATAATGTGAGCGTAGGTTGCTTATGAACTTATAAAGCCAATAATACTTCAACAAAAATTTCAATTGTTTGTACTGCAACTATTCCTTTTGAGCGACAACTAAACCTCTAACGCTACCAAGTCTGATACTCGCAAACCCTTGCCGAATGAATCCACTACATAAATAATCGTATTTACCAAATTAACAACGATTATACCTAAGTAGTCCTTTTTTTATAGCCATTTATTAGCTATTTTCGAAACCATTTTCTACCGCAACTAAACTTTGTTTGTAGTTTACTGAGTTTTAAGCTTCGACCACGACAAACCAGAGACCGAGACCGATACCGAGAACCCTTTCAGTGCCGCGTGCATTTACATACTTTCATACTCCATACATGCATACATATGTATGTATATGCATATTTGATGCACAAAGCGACCAAAACGTTTAACTAACGTTTTATAATACACATGAAGCCCCCCAAAGCCTCGCCCCCCTTGAAACGTAAGCTAGTTTACGCCTCTGAATCGATTAAAAGGATTGCGTGCACATTTTTAATGCCAATTTGTTGTTGGGAGGGCAAGCAGCCAGAAGGATGTGCTGCTCGAAACGCTTAGGGATATGCAAATGCTCAAGAGGTGTAAGGATATGCAGAAGAGGCAGTACAGTACACTGCCCTAAGGCTGAACCAATTGGAATGGAAAGTAAAAAGGAGATTTCCTTTGTATTTAATTGGCCATCTAACCTCTAAGGCGAGCAACTAGAAAGCTGGATGGTTGAGCGTTGTTTTTGTATTTATGATTTATGTGAATAAAATATCCCTGAAAGTTAGGCAATTCCTTAATCCCATTTGTGAAAGTCTGCGATGTGGCAGATAAATCTTATAAACATTTAAAAATATTTTACATTCATTTAGAATCAAATTTGAATATTTAAACTAATTATTATATTCGTTTTCTTTAATTTCAGGTAAGCGACAAAGCCTCCAATGAACAACTAAATCAGGGATAGCAGTAGTAAGCATTGGTATTCTGTGTGTCCTGTGTAAGCCCTAACCCCATGTAGACCAACTAATTTAAATACCCATCTACATATATGTACCTATAGTCGTGTATATGTATATATCTATGTGTCTGTAATTCTAACAAAAATATACTTTTCTCTTTACACTACAAAACATTACATATTGTGCTAGTATTTTTGTAGTTTTAACAACATCAGAAAACCATTCTACCATCCCATACCATTCCCATACCAAAAACAAAATCGACATTAACATATCTGACAAATACAAATTGAAAAGCAACATTTTATCTAGGTAAAAATCTATTACATTTGCATACAATTTATGGCAGGAAATTAAAAATGTTTTTCCTTCTGGTTTCCTGTTTTTTTTTTTTGTTTTTTTTTGACAATTTGCCAAGATTTTTCACTCCCGATTGTGGATTGTATTTGGTATATCCGCATTTTAGGAAAAGAGCATTGTGTGTGGATACTTTTGGCTGGCAGTGTTTTTGGCGGCGGCTTATCACATAATCATTTTAACTGTGTTCGCGAATCTTTTTATTTAATTAGGAAAATGTGTGTGGGTAGGAAAGCGGGGAAAGTCGCTTAATTAGCAGCAGTTTTCCAAAAATTCACATAACGCTCTATGAATAAATAAAATATATGTATGTATTATTTCCCTTCTTTATACTGATGAAATATTTCCTTATAAATATATGCATGTATTTTTGTGTGTGTGTGTGTGGGAATAAGACTTAGTTTTGCTCTTAATTACAAATGAGTACGTCCCTTGGGCCTTTCCGCCTGATGCGCTCTCTCATTAGCCTTTTCAGGCGAGTCTGCTCCACCGCCTCCCCAACCGCTCCTTGTTGACATTTTGGTGTCACATCTAGGAAGGGAAAATCCTACATTTTGGCCTACATTTCAGTGGAGAGCACCCACCACACGTGACAGGTGGCAGAGGAAACGAGCACGCGGGGGTAACGAGAAGATGAGAGCAAAGATACACAAAATATCTTTGGGTTAGGTAAATTTGTCCTGAGGGTTTAGTTTCAAGTAGAGAGACAAATTAGTAGGGGAAAGCATTTCCTTTCATTGCTTATTGAAGACTAGAAAATACTTTAAGATGTATTATCTCTCATCTCTCTTTCCAAAGCAGTTGAAATACCAGATATTAGCTCTTTAGAGTACGCCACCTAAACATAAAATAGTCGAAATATTTCCCCATGCATATTACTTCTCCCTGTTATCCCATCCTGCTGGCATTCTATCCCCCCACCCATTTTACCTGACATTCTGTTGAAATTACAACCATTATTAAGTATACGCCAGAGGGGCCATCCTACACACAGCAAGTTGAACATTTATGCCAATTAAATTTGAAATATAAACACACACACACACACTCGCACCCACAAAATAAACACATCCAAAAACGGTGCATACCAAATAAATAGTAAACATTTGTACTCCGTTTACATATTAAATTCGTATTTTTCGCATACTCGTATTGTATTTATTTTTTTGTACTCTCTTCCTGTTTTGCGGTAGTCGTAGGATATTTATGTTGTGTGTCTAGCAAAATAGTTGTGTTGCATAATTTAACATAGTTTTTCCTGTACTGTCCTAGAATTTATTGTATTTTTAACCAAACAGGAGAGCCGAACATGAATGATTTATAATGATATTTATACATGTATAAAATTCGAAGCTGACTTGGTCACCCTCCCCCCTTTCGATTCCCGTTGTCGTTGTTGCTGCTGCTGCTGCTGTTGGTTTGGCTTACATTTGATTAATTTCATATATATGTATGTATATACAGTGTATATGTTTTCATTAGCGCATTTTAACATGGTCTTCTCCCCCTCATAAATAACTTGACTGTTTACAATTGGTTTTGGTATTGGTATTTTAATATAAATAAGTAAACAACATTTTTAATTGGTGCAGCCACAAACAAAAAGAAATATAGGAAATATTGTGCATTGCATAAATAATTTTGCATCAATCATGAAATATATTGTAAAATACTTGAACCTTAACCCCCCCGTAGTCGTTGCTGATAGATCTGTGTATCCGAGTGGAGGCACACTGATTTATTCATTATCCACTTGATGCTCCACTTGACAGACGCTTCAATCCACTTATAGAATAATCGTATATTGAAAATTCATGTAAATAGATTTCTGCGTGTTTTGTGTCTGTCCCTCCCTCTCCCCCAACCCTTCTCCATTCATGAAAAACTAAAATCAAAATTCATGGCAAATATTTAAAAATATTATGTGCATTTTGTAAATATTATATACACACCCCCCCTTCCGTATGTGAGACCCACAACACCCATTGAATAATAAATTAATCAATAACGAGCCCTCGCCATGCATTTTAATTGACATCAAACGCATTCGAAACGTGTTTGGCCATCATCAAAAAAACAGAAACGAAAATAAATACCCAGAACGTTGTCAATGTACGACATATGCATATCCATACCCCCCACCCCCCTCCAAAACCATTTATAAATATCCATACAAATGATGTAGTCAAAACCCCATAACATGAGCTCACAAAATAACCAACAAACAAAAATCAGCAAAAAGTTTTATAAGTGAGATCGAAATGAAAAAAAAAAATTGTTTTACCAGTGGCGACTTTTCTTCTTTTCTTTTCCGGTTTCTTTTATATTTCAGGTTTCAGACACCCATTAAAGCGTTTGCCTGCCTGACAGCAGCCACAAGGTAAGCTCTAACCAGCTGATCAAAGCCCCCACATAAACCGAAATAAACCAACCACCCAAATTCTACTCGTAACCAGTATTAAATCCTTAAGCTTAATTCAATTACAATTGTTATACGATTTTCCATGTGTTCTGTGTGTGTGTGCTCTGTTCTCTGGTAGATACAAAAACAAAAATTTGATTGGCTCGTAATTAAAACCAAACGCTAAAATTATACAAATTATAATTAGAAAATAAATATAGCAAATGTTTGTGGTTTTATCATTTAATTTTTTCCATTAGCATTGTGGATAAAATGTAATAATATTTTATTGTTCTTAATACAATTTGTATAATATTTTTTATATATTTTTGGAATAGATTTTTCTTAGAAAACTTTTAAGTATTTATGGTTATACGAATTGATTTGTACACAATCCAATTTGTAGATGTAGTCTAGAGTTTAGTTTGAGGTTTTACTTAGAAACAAATTGGTCACAATTTATTTAATATGTTTTTAAAAATTCTTTAAATGCATTTTTTTGTGGAAAAACTAAGCCAAAGGCTTAGGTTAGTTTTTCTTTTAATCCAAGTATGGTAATTTAAAGTTTGAGTTAAGTTTTCCATTCAAATAAATGAATATCAAAAATGTGTAAGATGTACGTATGTAAAATGAGCATCCCAGGGAAGCATTTCATCATTCCAGATTTAAAGAAAATAATTTAAAATTAAAAATTCTACTATAAAGGTGCCAATCGTAAAAGAAACTCTGGGTTGAGCAGTAAATTAAACCACTAAATATCCACAAAGAAAACAAAGAAAAGGATGCCGTTTGTACTGAACTTTAAATTGAATTGAAAGCCTTCACAGCTTTCTATTAGGCAGCACAACTGTTAAACCGCAACAATCGAACCCAGCTTAATCTTTAGCCCTGGCCAAAACCCAATTTGAATTTCAAATAATATGCCTATCGAACATACACAGGGACCATGGGCCGCCCTGAAGGCCATTGGAATCCAACAATAAGAAACATATTTATGCATAAAACAATAAACAGTCGAGGGGGTCGTGGGGGAGGGGGGGGGGGGGGGAATCCAAGGCAAAAGGAGTGAATGGCAGGAAGGTTTAATCCCATTTGCGGCTGCTTGTTGCATTTGGCAGACAGACATCCTTGGCCGACAGATCCTGGCACGCTCCTCCTTTGCCTGCTGTGTGTGCTGTGTGCTGTCTCTGGCCTGCAGTTATTAAGTCTTCTTCGCCTGCTGTTAGCTTGTTATAATTTTATTGTTCATACATATAGATATGCTTGCCTTTGTTGTACAATTTGTTGTCGGGCAGCGGGGGAGAGCAGGGTTAGACTGAACTCTAAATGTATCTAATGTCTCGGCAATGGAGCGTACGTGTTTATGGTCCCTGACTTGGATGCTTCTTCGGCCTCTCTGTATGTCTGCCTGTCTGTTGCAAATATTGCCAATTGTATTTTGTTGCTGCTTCCAATCTACAATATTCGCACACAGGTGTTGCCTCTTATGTTCTGCTCCTCTTGTTCACAACTTATCAGATTTGCATTAAAATTGTACTCTTGAGGCTTTAAATTAAAGATGGGCTAAGCAGTCCGTAGAGACAGATAAAGTCTCTCAGCTGCAACAATCGCCCCTCCCCTAGATTTTAAACGATAATTACATAATCACAATCGTAACCGGTGATAATGACAACACTTTAGCGCCATCAAACACATCATAAAAAATGGAGAGAGAGAGAAAGAGAGTGGGACGGACAGGCAGGGAGGCAACCCGCTAGAAACATCAATTACCAGAGCCAGACGACGACGCTGAGGCCAACAAATTGGACACCAACCAGAACACACACACACACACGACAGCATTGCAAATGGCTGCCAACAACAGCAGCAGCAGCAGTGGCAGTGGCAACAACTACACACATACAAACACTTGCCACATGCAATATTTTATCTGCTAATGTGTAATTATAAACAATTTTGTTGTTTGTTATTTATAATGGTGCAACAAGGGAGCCAGCCGCCGCACAACCAAATAAAAACTATAGAAACTAAAGCATTTTTTTTTGGTACCCATTTTACATCGAATGCAAAGGGCATATAGTCAGTACAAAGGCAGAAGAATGAGTTGGATCCTGGGACTTTGTGGGAGCAGTGGGCATCTGCTTCTCTTGTTGATCTGCTTAGGTTTAAATAGTCAGGTGATTGGTACAGGGATACAATTAGTGGTAATGGTTTTCCGTAACCACCTACTCCACAAACAATATCCAGGAATATGCTGTGGGAAATCATGAGCAGCAGTCATCATTTGCTGCAGGGGTATCCCTATAGTCGACTATTGTTGTGCCCCACTTAATGTTGTTGCTGTTTTGTAATTGTGCAGCCATTATTTCAGCTATTGTTGCTGCCGCGTTTGTTGCATTGTGCGGGTGCAATTTTAACAAACGACTGACGATAACAATCGCTGGCAACTTGTCCCGAGAGCGGGCAGAGAGAGAGGGCTGCCAGCATATGAAAGGGGTGAGGAATGCGTGAGTCCAACACATTTGCCACATACCAAAACTGACAAACGATATGCCATACACCCCGATGTGCGATATGCGAAATAAGCAGGGGGGGTGGGGGAAATGCGGTAAAAGGTGCTAAAATTCCATGACAGAAAATGTTGTTTCCAGCCAAAAAAAAAAACAAAAAAAACTGAAAAGACCATTGAAAATAAAATGGCGTGAAACACGCAACAGCAGCAGCAGCAGCAGAAGTTACAACAACAAATGGCTCCAAATTAATTGCATTAAAATTTATGTTTAGAAATTAAAACTTGGCACTGTGGCACTTCGTGTTCTTTCTGCGGTTTCATTTAGTGGCTGCAGCTGCAACTGCAACGTGCAGTGCTGCTGCTCTCTGGAAAGTAGACTACATAAAAATTGGATACTTATTGCAAATTGGGAAATTTTAGCGATACTCTGGATGGGTGATCTTTAAACACAGTTGTTGAGGGGGTTGAAACTAGAGCATGTGTCATGGATCTGGAGACCAGTGAAGGGAGAGAGGTTAAATACACCAAAGAGATTTCTTCTAATGGATTCTCCTTTATGCAAAGAACTCTGAGAGAGTCGTGTAGCGACCGATCTGCCAGCGCTTTCAGAGAGTCGCCGATAACAGTGTGGTAACAGTAGCAGTAACAGTGCGGCAACAGGGTGTTAAACGGAGCGCTGTAACATGCGCTGTTGCTCTCTTACTGCTGCTGCTCTGAACATAAGAAACACAAAAGGCCCTCCAGGGGCTATTAATGCTTCCTAGCTAAGGGTAAAGCTACAGTTTATTCTCATTTTATATCCTACAAATGTAAGCATTAACAGGTACAGTCGCAATGGTACTGCAAAGCCTTATTCATTGTCCCGTGACAACCAATTGTCCCCTCGTGTTCCACTGTCACTTTTTCTGTCCTCCACTGTCTGCTCACTTTTGTGTCAAATCCATCTGCAGACAGACAGGGTTGACTCGTTGATGCGTTTACCGTTAATTTACCGTTTTCCCCGTCCTATAAGGTCCCCTTCTTAAGTCATGGGCAAAAACGAGAGCATACTTTTCAGCTGCAAACAAAACAAGACTCGGACCACAATCAATTAAAGTTGCACTGTGGCTGGGACAGGGACATCTAACGTTAGTTGGTTTCTGTGGCACGCAGCTGCTGCAAAACGCAGAGACAGTGCGGTGCGGTGTGGTGCGGTGCGACGGCCACACAAGCCCCATTACAAAGGCTACACGGGAAATGGTTGAGTCTGGGGATGGGTTTGCTCTACTGTTCCAATTATTGTCGCCCTTTCACCTGATTCTGTATGTGTTTTTTTTTTTTTTTTATTGTGTATGCTGTTCGGTTTTGGGTTTGTTGGGTTCGCAGTTGCTGTGGCACTTTTAATTTCCCAGTCGAACTACCCAGTGGCACTTGCCAATGCCTTTTTGCTCTCTAACCGGAAGCGTATTGTTACGGAAGAGCAACGCATCCCTCTGGCATGCTCTGTGCCTTTTTTTGGCTTTGCTTGTTTAACAACATCCGCCTGGTGGCAGGACTTTAATTACGTCGGGCGTTACGTTTTTTTGTCCGCCTTTTTTATTTTGATTTTTTTTTTCCCCTGTTGCACTTGACTCAATTTTGGGTCAAGTTGTTTCGTTTTTGGGGCGGGCCAATTCCTGGAATTGACAATGACAGTTTGCCCAGAAGGGAATTTAATGCTCTGATGGCTACAGCAGCAACAATAAAAATTTCCATGGAAATGGTCATCAGGCCATCAGGAAGGCGAAAGCCTTGGCACTGACTAATCAATCCAGATTACTTGACTCCTTCTGTGGCAATCTGTTTTTGGCAAAGTGAACCTTTTGCCATTCTCCTGCTCGGGCCAATCTTCTTTGGTTAGTCTCCGCTCTGGCAACTCTGGCACAACCACTTAATTTCCTACATTGCGTATACGAAATATCGATGCAATTTCCTTGCAAACGGAATTTATTGCACAACTGGATGAGGCATTAGAAGCTGCCAGACAGCAACCAGCCAGCCCAGCCAGCCCAGCCAGCTGTCTTTATTGCAATTACATTGCCATTTTGCCCATTTTTGATTCGCTCGCTAATAGAATTCCAGCAGCAATCCGCACTGTTGTACAGGTCCCACTCCTGCAAGTGGGGGAGTGTGTGTGTGTGTGCAGAGCTGATGATTTATGCATTGGCCAACACCTTTTGGGGTGGTTAAAAACGGGTTACGGGGCGGCTGGGTTGCGCTGGCTGTGTGTGCCAGCTTATGTAAATTCATGCGAATCGCGTTTTCAATTTTTGGCTTTTGTTGTTTTTTGGCTCTGCTGGAAATATGCAAATGAAGCTCATAATTTGCTTACAGCTAAAGGCGGGAAATTACCAAAAATGAACTACGATGCTGAACAATGGGCAGAGAGGCAATGGCAGTGGAATAAAAGTGGTGGGTGGATGGGGAGGGGTATGGCAAGGCAGTACGT